GCCAGCTTTTGGTTCAAATGTTCTGTTCCACCTTAAACAGTGCAGCAGTTCTGATGCCTGAGGCACCAGAATGTAACTGCTGCACCATTTAAGGTGGAACAGGAAATTTTGCTAGGGCCGTGTAGCCCTAACACTTCACCTGCCCCCTATATCTCAATAAACATCAGGACATCCTTCCCCAAAGCCTGAACATGCAAAACAGAGGGGTAAAGGCTGAGTGGTAGGGGCAAAGGTTGAAATGGGAGTGGGCCTTAGTCAGTGTTTAACAAGTCACCACATTTCTGTGACCACAAATCACTACTAATATTGATGATGATGATGATGATTAATTATTATCTAACAGTAGAATTGCATGGGACTCTTATTGGAGAGCAGTTAATTCTGCTTTCTCAGTGGATTCGTTTGATAATTATGTTCATTATGTTCATTTATGTTCAAATTTCATGCTAAGTTTGTTCTGAAGAAAAGTTCTGAATTTGCATGTGATTTTTAAATTGAGTGTACACTTTAATGTACGCACACAACTTAAGTGCAACTGATTTATAAATAACAAACAGTTGCAGAAATGAGTGCACAGGAATGAGCTTTCCAACTCCGCCCATCTTTTAACTGATTTGTAGCGTTTCCAGCAATAAACGTTAAAAAGGAGCGAAAACAGTATAGCCCAGCATGTTCTACAGACTTGATGCTGACTGGTTTAACAGTGAATTTACTAAAACTGTTTAATTCATTCATTTAAAACAAAGTGAGCTCCACAAACACGGTTTGATGAGTTTAGTGTGGAGGAACTCCAGTGGCCTGCAGAGAACCCTGACCTCAACTCCACCAAACCACCTTTGGGATCAGTTAGATTGTGAGTCAGGCCTTCTCATCCCACCCCAGTACCTGATCTCATAAAAGCTCTTTTGACTAAATGGGCACAAATTCCCACAGACACACTCCAAAATCTTGTTGAAAGCCAGAAATTTGTAGGCTGCTATAGCAGCAAAGGTGAGGCCGACTCCATATTAATACCCAGTTCATATACACTGATCAGGCATAGCATTATGACCTCCTCCTTATTTCGACGCTTATTGTCCATTTTATCATCTCCACTTACTATATAGGTGCACTTTGTAGTTCTACAATTACAGACTGTAGTCCATCTGTTTCTCTGCATACTTTGTTAGCCCCCTTTTACCCTGTTCTTCAGTGCTCAGGACCCCCATGGACCCTCACAGAGCAGGTACTATTTGGGTGGTGGATCATTCTCAGCACTGCAGTAACACTGACGTGGTGGTGGTGTGTTAGTGTGTGTTGTGCTGGTGCGAGTGGATCAGACACAGCAGTGCTGCTGGAGTTTTGAAACACACTGTGTCCACTCACTGTCCACTTTATTAGACACTCCTACCTTGTCAGTCCACCTTGTAGATGTAAAGTCAGAGACGATAGTTCATCTGCTGCTGCACAGTTTGTGTTGGTCATCCTCTAGTCCTTCATCAGTGGTCACAGGACGCTGCCCACAGGACGCTGCCCACAGGACACTGTTGGCTGGATATTTTTGGTTGATGGACTATTCTCAGTCCAGCAGTGACACTGAGGTGTTTAAAAACTAAATTAAAATTAAAAATTTGAAATTTTGAATTTGACTGCAAATTGATGGAACCAGCTTACATTGGAGTCGGGGGGCTGACTTCAGGCGGGGTCGTCTCAGGACAGACTGGATCGAAGGCTGGAGCTCATGCGGTGGTTCCTCTCCTCACTGGCTGTGGATGCTGCATCTCCGTGCGGGCACGCGCCTTTCCATCAGTGATTGGGCGGAGGCGTCTCGTGGCCGTCTGACGGTGGAGCTTGGGCAGCCTTTCAATGGTCGATCTGTTCACAGATCAGTGCGTGGCTCTGGGTGCGATGCTGGGTCTCCGTGGCGTCAGAACCGCTCCCACTCCTCTGGCGAGGTTCAGGTTGCAATCAGGGTTCTGAGGCTGGTGATACTAATTTAACTAACTACCTCTCTTTAGCCAAATCGAAAGTGATGGATGTATTCTCCCTGGCCAGACAAGAAATATCCACCTTCCTTCTCTGAGGGTGGTTTAAACTTAAGGTGTGTAGACAAACAGGCAAGTTACAAAACAAACAGAGGTTTCAGATCTGGAAATTTAGTGTTCTAATACTTCTGACCTGTCTTTCTGACCAAGGCCGGCACAAACTTAGAAACTTGGCTACCTTCTTGTTGAGAATGCAGGAATCTGAACTCCCAAATTTGCGGTGCACTCTGGTTTTGCTCGGCTGGAGGCCCTACCCTTTGGAGGTGGAGCCAGAGTGCTGATAGGTTCTCCTCACCTAAGGTTACTAGCTACTTATTGTTTCCAACTCTGATTGGTTGTGCATAATTTTAGGAATGACTTCCCCAGAATCACTGCCTCCTTTGTTTCAGCTAGTTTAAACAAAGAAAAAGAAGCATTTCTATATCATCAAATTGGTTTAACTTTCAAAATCAAGGAATGAACAACTAGGATATTCAGGCATGTTTCTAAGAGAGAGTTTAACCCTTGTTACCTGATACACAACACATGTCAAAGAACACAGGTACTATTTGCCAATAAAAGGAAAGGAACAAAGGAAGAAAAGAAAAGAAAACCACATTCAGGATACATATTGGTCAATGGTCTAAACTCATAGCAATTAAATGGTTGGGTCTGACTGTTATCAAAGTTATACTCTACGTATTTCTAGCCTTTAATAGTAGAAAAAGATACAGGTAATATTTAGGTACTACCCAACAACAAGATTAATACAACAAGTAGTATTGCTTACAGATTATATAATATGTTGATAATCAAGCAGACAAAGCAAGAAGTTTCTTAGGGTTCCTTATAAGCACAAGTCCTTACGGTGGTGATGTGGTAATTCGCGGTTTCACCCCTTGGGGGTGCTGTGGGTCCATGCTTGAGATCCCTAGGGAATTTAGAAAGTTGAAACTTTGCCATCCAAAGTCGTATGAGTTCCGTTTTTGGTATGTCTTGTTTAGTTAAAAAGAGTCCTAACGAATGGTTGCAGTTTGGAGTGGACATATACCTTAGAAATGTACTTTCTGTTACTTAAAGATAAAGTTGTCCACAGGACTTTGGAGGGCCATGTGGCCAATATTCCAGGGAGGCGTTGTCCTGTTGCCCTCTGGGTCAAGGGAGAGGGGTGCTGGTTCTTGATTCAGCTGTAAATCTGACTGAGTCTGAGGTTGGGGGGTGTTAAGCTGACAGATTTACACCTCAATTCCAGACTTGCTGGAGCCAAAAGGCCCTTAACTTTGGGTTGCTGATACGTTAGAAACACTCAGCCTAGGGGTAAAGTTTCAGCCAGTGTTCACTACAGATGTTATTTTCATTTGTTTTCTGAAGATGATATTTGTCATTGTCACAACATAACAAACATTGTTCCACTGAGATAAGACACATTATGTCATGATAATGGCATTAATATCTTGAGATATTAAGAAAACAACATTCGTTATGTTGTCATAATTATATAACTAGCTCGAATCCATGACTCTTTAGGGCTTCCATACATAAGGCTATAGGCCTGTTTTTTAAGTGATTGCACTGGTATAAGGAAGCTAACTGTTCAGTTGTGCAGAAACTTGGCATTATTATTCAGAAACATCAGGGAGAAATTAAAAGGTTTTTGTGTTGGATAAGTAGTGAAGACTGTCTTTCCAGAAAAGGTATAATGAGCTAATACTAGAGTTAACTGGTACAGTATTTGGATGCTGTTGATGACCCGTTGTCTTCTACACTAGGTCTTCTGTCCTCATATGATGTGCCAACATGTTAGTTTGCCAGAGAAATATATTTTTGTTGTTTCTAGTTTACAGTCTAAGCTGGAACCAACAAAAAGATTGTTAGTACTTTTTGTAGTACTACTACAGTAGTTAGCCTAGTTCCAGCCAGACCACCTCCTCAATCATCAATGTGCCCTTGTGTTCTTGGATTGGAGATGTAACAGCTTTATCAGTTACTGGGTTTCATAGTTGACCATAGCTGCTTGAACAAAAAGCACTTCCCATTCCCTCCGTTTGTGGTGGGCTTATCTGCGTCATGTTTTTCCAGGGTTAGAGCCATGAAAAGCTCTTTTAACCAATCCCAGCATCTTTTGAATAATAACAATAATAACAGAGAAATCTCTCTTTTCTAAACTGCATTATCAACTGTTTCTGGCATTGATGCTGCCAGACTCTCTGAAGTTGACCAGGAGGTACAAAAAAATTTTTAAGTTTAACTTCTACTGATTTTTTATCTGAATCGCTGTTATGAGCAGCCTTGGTACTTACACATACTAAGCTTAGCTAGCTTAATAGGTCACATTACCTGGCTTACCTTTGTTTAAACTTGCCGAAATATGAAACCGCTATTTGTAATAATAATTATAATAATAATAATAATAATAAACAAAAATACAAAAGATTGAGACTGAGACCCCATTTTGAGAATCATCTCTTTAAATGGGTTTTTATTATTTTATTATATATTAATGAGCAAAATGGCACAATATATGCAAATAAAATTCACAAAGTTATTTACAGTTCATAAAGACAAAGAAAATTAAATAACAATCCTAATATTGATACCTTTGGAAAGTAAATTAAATATTTTGTAATCAGGGAAAAACACACACTAGCAATACAAGGCTTTTAATTCCTCTTCCAAAAGCAATATACGGGGTTTGAATTACAAAATAATTGACAAGCAAGCATTTAGATCATTTACAGTGGGGTCCAAAAGAGACAACATTTAAAATTATTCTATTTGTGTTAAGTTTTTATTAAAAATTCTGTTATCAACATAACAAAATGAGTGAAAAGTAAAATCTTAAAATGTTTAAATGCATTTCAGATTTTTTTAGGATGGGCTGTGTGATCCCACAAGTTTGTGCAGAACTCTCTAATCAGTAGCTCAAATCCACTTAAGAGTCTCTAATACATCTTCTATAAAGATTTAATTAAAATATAAACATTAAATGTTCAGTTTTCTATCGTACTTTGACCTGTGAGTAAATGTCTTGACTTTCCTTGACTCTGGACGTTCTGGATGGAGGAGGTTTCTTAGCAAAATTCAGAGCTGCATAATTCAAGCCATCTGTGTTCTCAACCTGATGGAGAACATTCCACGAAACTATATATTAATTTCATAAGCTGCAAATTAATGTCAACGTGGTATGACTACATAGTACAGCATATGCAGGACAAGGAATGTACATGATAATGTGAAATAAATGTATATTTTACCTGATTTGTGTGACTTGGATGATCAGTGAAAGACCCTGAAAAGGGTAAAGTTTGGCTGCTTGTTATAACTGTGGACATTTAATTGAGATTTAAGAAACAAAAGCTCTATTACAGCATCAACACTGGTGACCTACCTTTCCGCTGGTTCTTAAGGAGCAGAACAGCCAGAACGACAGTCACAATAACAGTTATCACATTGGTTGTTGTCAAGGCAAAAATCCAAATATTGTCTTCTAAAATGATAAAAGGTACACAGTGGGTTAATTACAGGTGATGTATTCATAAGCAGGAGTTCAAGTTTCTCCTAAGGTAACCATTTCATACAGTGGACGTCCTTTACTGAAATAAAGCTCTGTATTAACAGTCTTACCTTTTACACTGAGTTTAGTTCCATTCCCAAACAGTATCTGTCCACATGCAGCCACAGCACAGTAGTAAGTTCCAGCATCAGAGAGGCTGAGGTTTCTCTTGGGGAGTTTGTAGACACAGCTCTGTGTAGTAGAATCAGTCTCAGAGCTCCTCGTACACTGACTGTCTGTGTCTCCATGAGTGTAAATGATTCCTGGATGAGATTCTCCTGATCCATGTCTGAACCAGTACACACTGTGTTCTCCTGAACAGCTCAAAGGAGTCACTGAACACTGGAGTGTAACCGACTCTCCACTTTTCACATCTACTTCATTCAGATTTCGCTTCTTAGACTTTTCATCTTAAAAATCATTTGTAAAAATGAAGAGAAACAATGCAAAAAGCTCTGAGAAGTACAAACATGAAGGAAATAAACATGTACAACATATTGGTTAGTATTGCTTAAAATCACATTTATCAGAATAGAACTGTTACCTGGAAAAAGCAGGAGGGTCCCAGATTCAAACTCTGTAACATACTCCTTTACGTTCACACAGAAATATGTTCCTGTATCCTCTTCTACAGTGTTTATAATGCTGAGATCAAACTTTTCTTCACTTGCAGTTAATCTGAAGCGATGTACAAGTGGTCGGGCATATCTGACATCTGCGTTATGCCCAGCTGCTCTTACAATAAGCTGAGGCAGTTTTCCAAAACTCTGCTTATACCAGGCTAAATAGTTCTTATTGCCTTTGACAAAGTTTTGGTTACATTTTATTGTAACATTTTCTCCATAATTCACTGTTTGCACTTGAAGATTATCAATCCCACTTGTTTTCACTGAAAGAAAAAAGTGTTTTATGACTACATTAAACCACCTGAATATAAATTGTTTAAGATTAATCATATTTTAACTAAATAAGTGACTTACCAGATGCAAAAAGGCAAAAAATCACAAAGATTCTGACCATAGCTCCTGTTGTGAAAGCAAGATGGTAATGTTTAATGAAGTGGTCAGCTGTCTGTAGCAGAAGAGACCTCGTGTCTGATGTGATTGGGCATTCTGAAGTTGTGAACTTTTGTGATTGGTTGATTTTTTTGTAAGGAAATGGAAAAAGGTCTGTTCTATTTGCAGGACCACACATATCTGCACCACATTTTTTTTTCTTGGTGAAGGTTCGTGAATGAGCTTTCCAGTAGATGGCATTCTAAGATGAAATTTTTCTTGTAAAATACAAAATATTGTGGTGGAGTGAAAGTTTTAGTGAACAGGTTAATATCTGTAATATGACTCTTAGGCTACTATTTTATAAATACATGCTGTACCTGTAGCTGGACAAGTAGATGAAAAACCTCTGATGTGCTTAGTAGTTTAGTGCCTGTCAGTTTAAAACTGTAATGTATATGTTAGTGCAGTTTTCAAATTCTATTAATGTTCATTAAAACTTCACCATTTAAAGAAAAAAGCCACATTAAGGTGTGGAGACCAGGAGCCTCATTTAGAAAACTTTCTGTGGATTTCCAGAATAAAAGTATGCACAAAAAGCAGAAAATGGTGTATTTTGCACAATAGTGATTGGTGCTTTTGTATTTTTGGAAGCAAAAAAAAAGGTGGTATTCAATCTGAGGTACACTGTTTTAATAATGATTTATTGCTTCTCATATTATGTTAGCAAATAGCTTTATTGGACACAATTTGATGCCCATATCATACATTCCTAGTGTAGGTGAGGGATAGAGTGTTGTTTGGTGGCACAATGATAGGATTAATTAGGCAAGAGAGAAAAATAAATCATGCTATATCATAGTCCAGCAACCAATAGCTATAGCATATTAAAGGAGATACACTACATGGACAAAAATATTGGGACACATACACATTACACCCACAGGAGCGTTTATGACATCCCATTCCAAATCCATAGGACACAATATAATTTTTTTTCACTCTACAGCTTTTTTCACATGTCTGGTGCCATCAGAAAATGGGTTTTGATGAAAACAGCTGTTGAAACTGTAGTTGAAAGTGTTATGCAGGTCAGAGGGCCAAAGATACACAGATAGACTGCCTGAGCATCAAAAAATATTAAGTGAGACTAAACTTAAATACAAGCTGTTAATCTAATTTGTTTGTTCAGTACAATGTAGAACATCCAAAAATGTTTCAGACCTACTTCCTTGAGGCCTCAGCATTATAGATTAATGTAGTAAATTAGGCTCCAGCAGGTCTGCACACTGTACTGTAATCATTAGTGGTATCGTATGTAGAATGACCAAAAAACTTGAAATGCATCCAAGCACAGTATGCTGGAAGGCACAGCAGTTCATCTCCGCACAGTACCGATCATGGGTAGGGGATGGCTGCCGTTGACACTTGGGGGCAGGAAGATATGACATTTAGTCTGGATAGCTGAAATCCAAGATGTGCGTTCTGGGCCTGTATGTTTTGAAAAGCAATTGGTGCCAAATAGACCTAGAAAATACCACTCTGAGTTTCAAAGGCAGCCATGAGGTGAAGATGAGGCCACCGGGTGCCCAGTGCATAGTGGAACATGCTGCATCAAAGCCAGTTGAAGCGTCTCCAGGGGCGGAGAGTGCTCTCACGTTCACACGGTGAGCTATGAGAAGTTCCACTGCACCGGGAAGAGGATGTAGAGCAGTTTGTATGTTGCTGTGACCAGTGAACAGTTAAGAAAGGCACCTGCAGCAGTCGCTCACGCCACTTCAGTCTATCTGCTCCGGCGCTCTGATGGAGTGGATGCTGTGGATTTCACATTCAGCTGCCCGCCAGCACTGGTCAGTCCCCCACCCAAGCATGCCCTAGAAGAGGAGTGCGGCCCCCAGTTCGGTTCAAAGGCTTTGTGATTCTCTGGGGTGAGGACATGTGGTAAGGGGTGGGTAGTATAGTGTGTTCAAGGAAGGTTCTGCATGTTAATTCTGTGTTATTGTTCCCCAGTTATTTTCTGGATTTATTCTGACAAAGCATCTTATTGAGAGGGTTGGGCTAGCCTTCCTTCACTGTGTTTATGCAACACAACAGGATGAACTAGTCAGTGGGAGCTCAGAAGCAGTAGAGGGTGTAGAGCTAGCTGTTAGCCTAAATACTTGCTTATTGTACACGTTGCTGTGAACAACTACAGGCTTTAGCAAAGCACAACTACTTGTACATAAGCTTTGTCTTCTTCCTTAGCGATTAATGCTACAGTATGTATGAAGGTGTACATTCTGCACTGTTTTTGTTTTTTAAACTACTCCTGAATTAGGGATTTTGTCAAATTTGATGTCTGAATTCATAAGGCAAAAAAAAGCCCACGAAGGATTCATCAGCCTACAGGCTGCCACATGGCAGACAGATCAAGCAGACGATGTGTAGTGTCCAGAAAGATGTAACGCTCAGCATCTTAATACTACAAATTCATACTAGATGATGTGGCTTGAAACTTACATTGAGAAAAGCAGCCATGCCTAAGTTTTTAAGATGAACAGACAAATATTGTAAGTCTGTCTTCAACTTGGCTAATGTTACTTGCCTAGTCACATAATAACATCAGAACATTTCACCTCGTCCATTTTAGCTTTGAAAATAGCAAGTTTGTGAAGAGTTTGTTAACTGGTACCAAATGTGATGCTTTCACTTCTGAATGAGGTATAGTGTAAAATGAGCTGGAGCTTGTTGTTTAACAGTGCTTTTCTGTGAGGGTTCCTATGTGGTATACAGTGAGACGAGACAAATACACAGACATTTTTGCTTTTGTTAATATATTTCAGTGCATATATCCACTTCAAATTTACACGCATAATGTCTTTTGGCATGTAAAATGTAGGTTGGCGTGTACTAACAACTCAAAATGTCATAAAGGGTCAGTGGAAGTGCAGAAGGGTAGAGAGGTGTGACACAGGAAGGCCTGTATTGAAAGGTTTTGTTATTCATGGAAAGAGCTACAAAGTGAATACTTGCATCTGATTTCTTTGTGAAGTTGACCAGTAATGTTCACTCAGAAAACAGTTCGATTTACATACCATTGTGTGGCTGCAAAACACTGGGCGTTTTTCATTTACGGGGTTGACAGGTGCTGTTATCTAGCCTAATGTTATTGCCTGTTGCATAATTTGGAGATCTACATTCTACCACCAGAATTTTGACTTGTTTTTCACATTTTCAGTTTTTTCAGTTTGCTGTAGTGTGGTCTGAAACTTCTCACTCTCTGCGTATATAGAAGTTTTATATGCTACATAGTGGATGAAAGTAGTAAGCTTCAGTCACAGTAAAACATAAGCTACCCCCCACCCTTTTTTCAGATTTTAGCATGGGCCTGTATTAGTAAACTACACTCTCTTTAGATGGACGATTTAGTGAGTTTATCACCTTCAGGGGATACATAGGTGTGTTCTACTCCAGGCCCAAAGGCCAGTCTGGTCTATATGAGGTACTGATGGGATACTTCATAGTGAAAATATGTTACAGTTTCAGAAGAGTGGAGAGTGCTTTACATGGAACACTGTGCTGCTGTGTTCTGGTAATGATATGTGAAAAACATACAGATGCATTTTAAATTTTAAACTGCTGGGTAAATATCATTTAAAAGAAAGGAATGATGGGGATCAGTGCAGCTGCACAACAAAGTGAGAAGTCACAGCCTGTTCAGCAGAGGATTTCCCTACTTAAGCACACTAAAACTGGCACTTAACAGAATCAGGTGTGTCTTAGCAGGGAACCCCCACACTGTGCTGGACACTGGCCCTTCAGGACCCCTTGGTCTGTACTCTCTCATTGTACATTTAATGGATTATTATTCAAGATATCTCCTACTTCTTACCTGTCCATACATTTACTTTAACTTCTCATTAGTTATTAATGCACAAAACAATGTTTTTGAATAACCTTGAATAAAAAAAGCATAAAACATTCATGTAAAGCCGAGCAGATTTGGCAAATAACATCATATATTCACTGAGAGAAGGAGGGAAAGCCATAACAGTTCAGAAACATCTTTATTTTTTGTGTAAAGCTTTAACACATTGCCCACATTTTGTCAGAACCATCTACCGAATAAGTGAATAGAAGCTTTCTAGGTCCAGAGAGGATTAAATAACGTTTTTGTCAAAGTTGAGGCAGCTTATGTTAAAGCACAAGACATTTCAAATGGAAACACCAGTCTTCCATTACAAGAGATCAGCAACACATAAAATGGATGTATTTTAGCTAAATATGTCAGATATCTGTCTTCAGCATGTCTACTTTCTTTCATTTTTAACGATGTGGAGTACAGTAAGGATAATAATCATTGCAGCAAGAAGTCCAGTTCTTAAAATGGAGAGCCAGCACAAAATGCTCATCTGTTGCAAACATCCACCTGCATGGAAAAATAAAATTATTTTCCAGCACATGACAACTGAACGATAGTGACTAAGGAAGTATAATTAAATAAAATAGAACAAAGTAAATCTAATAATTATGGATACTGGCTATGAGATTACGTTTAATTACCTTAAATTCCTTTACTGAAATAAAGCTCTGTATTAACAGTCTTACCTTTTACACTGAGTTTAGTTCCATTCCCAAACAGTATCTGTCCACATGCAGCCACAGCACAGTAGTAAGTTCCAGCGTCAGAGAGGCTGAATATTTTGTTGAGTTTGTAGACACAGCTCTGTGTAGGAGAATCAGTCTCAGAGCTCCTCGTACAAGAACTGTCGGTGTCTCCATGAGTGTAAATGATTCCTGGATGAGATTCTCCTGATCCATGTCTGATCCAGTACACACTGTGTTCTCCTGAACAGCTCAAAGGAGTCACTGAACACTGGAGTGTAACCGACTCCCCGCTTTTCACATCTACTTCAGTCAGATTTCGCTTCTTAGACTTTTCATCTTGAAAATAATTTGAAAAAAATGAAAGAGAAATGATGCAAAACGCTCAGAGTAACATGCAACTATAAAAATCATCAAGTTAGAAGAAGAGAACTGTTACCTGGGAAAAGCAGAAGGGTCCCAGATCCAAACTCTGAAACGCCTTTCTTTGCTTTCACACAGAAATATGTTCCTGCATCCTCTTCCACAGTTTTAATGATGCTGAGATCAAACTTTTCTTCACCTGCAGTCAGTCTGAAGCGCTGTTTAAATGTTTCAGCAACTCTGATATCTGCATTATTCTCAGATGATCTCACAATAAACTGAGGCAGTTTTCCAAAACTCTGCTTATACCAGGCTAAAACGTGCTCACTGCCTTTGACGAAGTCTTGGTCACATTTTATTGTAACATTTTCTCCACATTTCACTGTTTGCACTTGAAGGTCATCAGTCTCAGACGTTTTCACTTAAACAAAATAGATGCATAAATAAACAAATAAACAAATCTAAAAAAACTAAAAGGACAGCCTGAATAACTGTATTATTTGTGTCATAACAAAAAATATATTGTATATATTAAATTAAACGAATGACCTACCTGTAACAAAAAGACAGAAAGTTGCGAAGACTGTGATCATTGTTCCTGTCGTGAGAGAGTGATAGTGATGTCTAACTGGTCTGTGGAAAGAGAAACCTTATGTCTGAAGTGACAGGTCATTCTGAAGTTGTGAACTTTGTGATTGGTTGAATTATCGTGAAGGAAATGGAGAAAGGTCAATTCTATGTGCATGACGTCACATCTGCACCTTAATTTTATTGCTTTGTTAAGGTCCTTGATATAGAGACTTCCAGTAGATGGCAGATTAACAAACAAGTATGAATGGTGAAGAAGAAGGATGTGGAGAAGTGAAGGCTCACAGTGAACATTACTTCCTGTACTTAGGGCGTTAATATCTGATGTGCTTGTATGTTCAGTGGCTGAAGTGAGTTTATGGCATTTTTTCAGAATGAGGGTTAAAATTGATGGAAATAACCTCAGTATTTAAAGTGGGAAACTGGTTTTAGATATACTGAGGGGTAGATATCAGGGGCCTCATTTTTATAATGTTGCGTCGAATTCAGAATGAAATTATGCGTGTGCACGAAAAGCAGAAAATGGCATGAGGAGAAGATGATGGTTCTACAACTGTGGATCAAGAACATTGTGGAAGGTGGTCTCAGGGAAAAGGTCTCCAATTCCATTATGTGTGTTCTTCTGCCTCACCCTCCACCTTTTAAGTGTAGAGTGAGTAAAAATTGCATAATTGTATAGTTGTACTTTTGGAGATTTGATGACTCTATGATAAAACCAAATCTTGCAAATATCCAAAACATATATAGAATAGGTTACAATCAGAATCAGCCTTTATTTCCCAGATATGTTTGCACTTACAAGGAATTTACTTAAAGTTGGACAGTATCTTGGTTACTCAGTAGCACAGTAGTCATTCTACTCCAACAGGGTAGTGCTGTAGTCAAGAGCAAGAGCTGGGCATGTTGAGTTTGAGTCACGATCAAGACTGAGTCCGAATCAAGAATGAGAGCAGGAGTGGCCAAGACTGAGACAAGACAGAAACCAGTATATAGAATATAAAAATAGTAAGAAGAAAGGAGAAAAAAATAGCTTGTGGTTCATAAATATAACATTAAATAATATATAGACTAAAAATATTATTAATTATCATTATATTGTCTCTTCTTCTCTGAACCACCTAAAGTCAACCGAATATAAACAAAACAACAAATTAGTCACCGGACAAAAAATTCCTCACCTTCTGTGTTTAAGGTGGTAGTAACTTCAGGCTCCTGCAGGTTGCGTTCCACGAGGATGATCAGGCTATAAATACCTGTGGGTTGTGCAACGGGATTCATAGATTGAGAAGAGGTGGTACAGTGCATTGAATGTCTCGTTTTGATGTGTGGAAATTGGGCTGCAAAGCAGATTTTAATGATTAGCTAAAAGAGTGATTGAATTTGGGCGTGCCAAAGGCCATAGTGTGAACGAAGTAGCTGAATTTGCAGGTGTATTGAAGCGTACGGTCATACGGATCTACAGGCAGTGGCAAAAATCTCAATGTACAGGAAATTCTCACCAGAACGCTGGCAGAAAGTGGAAACTGATGGACAGTTTCACAGCCTGTGAATAAGAAATGCTTTGCTTCCAGGCAAGAATACCTTCTGGAAGTCAACGCAGGTCCTTTACAGTCAATTTCTGAAAGAAATTGTTCCTCAGGGAACTGCATGACATGAACATATGGAGCAAAGTGGCACAGAACAGGCCATTGCTCACTTCTGCTCACAAAGTTGCCCAGTTACAGTGGCTGAAGAGACACAAAAATTGGACTGTTCATGACTGGAAATGTGTTATCTGCTCAGATGAATCTCGTTTCTGCCTGTGCGTGAATGATGCTAAGTGTCAAGTTCATCATAGACCTCAGGAAGCTTTCAGGGAGGACTGCGTGTAAGGTGTGATTCAAGCTGGAGGAGGTCTGTGATGTTCTGGGGTGTTTTAATTATGTGGAAATTGGTCCTTTTGTTGAAGTCACAGTAAATTTGAACCACAGTGCCTACATTGAGCTGCTGGACAGCCAGGTTTTGTCTTTTGCTCATCATCTTACAGAGGAACATAACATCCCTATCCGTGTATTCCAAGATGACAATTTTCACATTCCCAGGGCTGCAAATGTGACTGATTGGGGTGATGAACATTCATTAGCATTCACACATCTGGACTGACCTGCAAAATCCCCAGATTTGAATCCTCTTGAAAATCTGTGGGACTACCTGGAACAATGAGTAAGACACCAGGGAAGGCATCCATGAAATTTGGCTGAACTGCACAATTCTTTGATGCAAGAATGGCTGAACATTGATAATACTGGTTAAAAATATATGCACTCATTTAAGCGCATCTTAGGCCCAATCCCATTTCTTATTTTTACCCATACCACTTGTTTTTGAGTGTCACCTTCCCCCCATGGAACTGAGTTACAGGGGCTAGTTTTTGAAATCTTCCCCTGTAAAACAGGACAACCCTTAAAGAAAAAAGAACATTACTTCATTAACAGGCTACCATCAGTGTTCTGTAGGTGACCCTGCCAGTCTGCACTGATAGCAGAGGAGCGGCAAAGTTCAGCAACCTCACTGCTGGTCTTTAGTTAAATTTAGGGAATCGTGTGCCTTCAATTATTTATTATCGCCCACCCCTAATTTTTTGGTGATATGAAGCTGAAGTCAGCTGTTCACCAGCTTTTTGTTCAAATTTTCTGTTCCACTCTCCTGTAGCACTCTGTTTGGAGTGAGCCTCTGAAAAACCTCCGTTTGGACGGCCATGTAGCCCCAACACTTCACCCTACCCCTCTATCTCAACAAACATCGGGACACTCTACTCCTAGACGTGAACACGCAAAACAGAGGGCTAAGGGCTAAGTTGTAGGAACAAGGGGTGAAATGGGATTGGGCCTTAGTCAATGCTTAGCAAGTCTCCACACATTTCTGTGACCACAAACCACTACTAATATTGATAATGATGATGAATATTATTATTATAGTGGTATAAATACTTATAAAGACCATTTAATAAACATTTAAGCGTTCATTGGAATTAAATAAACAGTATAACAGCAGTATAATTGCACGGGACTCTTATTGTGATAACAGTGGAGTTTCTGTTTTTGTGAATGAAGTGCTTGAAATGGAGAGCAGTTAAATCTACTTTTCAGTGGATTCGTTTGATAATTATGTACATTTCTTAATTCTGACATGTTGTATCTACTGCTGTGTCATGAATGAATCTCACATGGAGGCTTCACAGTTGTCTGGCCTCAAGAACATTTTCCACCATACCCTGAAGCTGAGGCAAGAGTTTACTGTTGAGACCAAAACAAGAGTGAGACCACTAGAATTCACGGTCTTGAGACAGAGTTTGAACTTAAATATTATAGTACTACAACAGGGTTAAAGAAATTTCTACACTTGTTTGCTTTTGTAGGCTTCATATGCAAGTATTTCTGTTGTGTGGCTTTTACATAATGTATGGATTACACTGGATTGCCTTCCTGCTGGATTTGAATATAAATGAAGCCTATCTAAAGTACTATGTTGACGCAGGGCTGTCAATGCAATTAGACAGCATGACCTACTATGTGAGAATCCTGTGTCTCACAGCAAGTGTGCTAAATTCAGCCCAACAATCAAAAGAGATTAAGCCCAGTTCTAGATTACATTTTCCTTTCAGTGTAAAATCTCTATTCCAGTGTTTGCCAACCTTGGTCCTGCAGTGCTTTCCCTGTTTCATTATACCTGTTTCAACTCAGAAAAGGGTCGTTAATGATCTGATTAGTTAGATCAGGGGCTTTACTTGTAGAACCTACTTGAATTTCATGCTAACTGAGTGTACACTTGAATGTATGCACACAAGTGCAACTGATTATTTATAAATAACAAGTGGTCGTAGAAATGAGTGCACGGGAAGGAACTTTCCAACTCTGCCCATCTTTTAACTGATTTACAGATAAGTGTTTTCAGCAATAAACGTTCAAAAGGAGCGAAAAGAGTATAGTACAGCATGTTCTACAGACTTGATGCTCACTGGTTTAACAATGAGTTTACTAAAATTGTTTAATTCAATCATTAAAAAAACAGTAACGTAAGTCTACAAAAGTATAGATGTTGTAGTGTTCCGCTACTGGCTCATGCTACTGTGGGAGCGCGGTAGCTGCGGCCATGTAAAGTGGCCATGCGTGGAACCTCTTAGGGGGTGCTGCGCCGTGGTAGGAGAGACTTTTATTATAAATAAGTTGTTGTTGTTGTTAGCTTAATGATGTGCACATGTGTTGGTTGTGCTGTTTTATACTGGGCTGTGCAATGTTGCAGTGTTAGTGCTTAACATCGAGAGAAAGTGTATGGCTAGAAGTGACACACCTGCAATCTCAGCCTTTTTCAGCTAGCACTGAGCTGTGGTTCTCTCTAGCTGCCTGTTGAATAAAAGAGTGTTGTTTATTAAGTGGCGATGATGTGAAGATGGTGAAGGAAAACTCCGTTGACACTGTCTTGCCAGTATAAGATGTTTATTACAAAGTAAAACAGTATCATATCAAGCACTATGAAGTACCTGAGAGAGGATCCGTGCCAATTCTAAAGTGTCCCCTCGAGAACAGAATGTTCCAACTGCTTATATACGGTTCTTGTTGTTGAAACAGAAGACAGAACATGTGGTTCTTTTTAAAATGATCTCATCTATTTGGAACTAAGAGAAGAAGGGAGAAAGTGAGAGGCCTACTCCCTATGGGCCTTTGGACCAGGGGGCCCCTTAATTTAAACATTCCAATCCCCTGCAAAACAGAGCACACAGGGTACTTCAAACACTACAATATCAACTTATACTCAACGTTAAGAGTGTTGTTGCCTTCTTTTATAAAGTTACTCTTTTTAAATACACCTCAAGAGCATCCACATTAAAAGCGCAGTGTTTATATAAACACTTTAGTAAAATTACTGAGGAAGAGGATGGCCTCATGAGCCACTCATCAGAATGTATTAAATCAGCCCAGGCTTGAAAGGTGAAAGGTGGTTCTCCGCAGTGCTGGTTCTGCTAGGTCCTCAAAAAGGACCAACACACTAGCTTATTAACCTGTTCTTAATGAA